TGTGGGGGGGGGGGGGGGGGGGGGGTTGGCGTATCCGAAATTGTCGTATGTGAATACCGTCGCTTGAATGCCTTTTTATCATCCGGGCGTCAAAGGGTCGCCAACACAGAAGGCTTAACAACCTGAAGGCTACAGATTGCTGCGCAATAATCTCAAAATGCGAGCGCGGTTCAGATACTAATAGATTTTGCGTGGTGTACATATCATCAAGCATGTTGATTCTCCGCAGTTACCATAGTGGACGCAGACTGCTGTACGACCGTCGGACGAGCCGCCAACAGGCGAGAGGGATCTGTTCATCCTGCTGTCCCCATGCACAACATAGCAGACCGCTCGCTCTCCCTTTGGGAGCAAGTGTTTTCCTAGGCAAGCAGCTATAACGACGCGGGGCATGGGATTCTTCCTCTACTGGAAGTACACATCCCTGATTCATAGAAAATATGTGTCTTCAGCCGGGAGTGTCCATAAAAAGGGTATGTCCGTCACCGAGAGGTTTGACTGTAAGTAGTTGAGAGACACCCTTTACAAAAACCGTAGGTTGCATAGGATACCACACCCCCTGGACAGATTTTCAAAGCTCGATTACTCCGCGACCAAAGAGGATGCCGAAGGCAAACGATACGTGTTCGGAAAACTCTCGACGGCACTACTGTTCCAACTCCGACATTTTTGGCACCGTCACTTCTTTCCTTGCCGAGTAACCAAGCTTTGAAAATCGGCCCAGGGGGTGTGATATCTCGTGCAGCCTATGGTACCGCTGTGAGAGGCATTGACTGATTTTCGATCGCACCTAACATGCACTGAAAAGTGTAGTACACGTCTCACCACGAAAAGATGGGGGGACTGTCACAATAATAATATACTGCGTGAATGATGGTTTTGGAAAGCATCTCGTCGAGGACTTTCCGTAAACGTCTCGGGCTCTTTCCGCGCCCCCTTGGTCGTGGAGAAATCGACCTATGAAAGTCGCTCTAGGGAGGGGTGCCATCTCTCTGCCTCTTATATTTACTTGTGAGAATCATCCTCGCAATCGACCAACTCCTTGTCGGCAAATCTGTATATACAGATCCGATGTGTATTGCGTTCGGATTTCGGTAATACATCTAGTCGTTTTTTTTGCTCGTGGTGGGATAATGTTGTGCGATGTATATATCTCTGATTTGACGGGAACAAAAGCGGCCAGGCGCCAAGGAAGGCAAGACAGACTCTGCTGTCTTCGGGCTAAAGGGATCGAGACAGGTAATTTTCCGGACTGCACGCAACCTCACGGACTCCACAGAGGGAAGAGGTGCGTGCGGCACAACATATTCAAGAGAGGAACAAAAGAGAAGTTCGAATTACTTCCTCTGACAGACACAACCTTTCGGGCATGTAATTTACACAAAAACTGCTGCGCCAATGATGTGCATACAATGATGCACGTGTGTTCCGGAGCGCGAACGACCGACGGACGGAGCAGTCTCTCTGGCGCCGGGAGAGACTCCTAGAGAGAGGAAGCATCGCAAAGCGTACACAGCAAGCCTTCGTTATTTTTCATCTGTACCGCAGCGCACAGGCAGAGACAGCCATCACAGCAGGCGCGTGTGATCAGTTGATGGCGGATGGAAATACCCGTGCGGAATCGTTTCAACGTTTCAACGGAGAGGTTTTTGACACAAGCAAACATGATCCATCTCACAGCACGCATCTCAGGGTTGGAACTTGTCATGAGGTCGTGGCTACCATCAAGATAGACCATTCGAGCAGGAGGCGACCACGGTGTAGGAGGATGGCTTCATACATATGTATGCATATCATGGAGCAGCAGGGAGAAACATGCATGTCCTCTGTGAGAGGTCGTCCTCCTTTCTCAGAACCCTCTCACCTGCTGCAAGACAGGCAAGTAGTCCAAGCGTATACCCCACTGCGACCAACCCCGTCCAGGTTCGGAGCGTCGACATCAAGCCTTTCTCCTGCCACAAGTTTCCCGGATTCTCGTCCCACAGATTTCGGTCATTGTACATGATGGCGTCACCAGGAATGTTCTCACCTCTCCAGCATCTGTCACCAGACCAGACACCAGACTGTGAGCAAGAGACTGCAGGAGTGCGGACCCTCAGACGGGCGATGAGCCCACGGAGCCCCGAATTCCCGCCAACCTCCCCCAACTGCGCGCCCCCTCGTCGGGAACTCCAACCAAAAACAACACACACACCACCAGGCAGAGGTGGGTGCAGAGCTGGAGTCAAGTCATGGCAGCAGCAGCATCTCTCAACGCCGTGCTTCTGGTATCATGCTGTTGCAGTGCAGCGCAAGGCCTTTGCCTCGGTGCGAATCCAGCAGGTTGGCAAAGGAAACAACAACACTCTTGGCCGAACCAGCAGGGGGTGCGGCGACATCAACCGCAGCAGCGGAAGCTTCAGCATCATCCACTATACGCGCGCAACCGCCGACGCGCTGCCTTACCGCTTGCTGCCGCCTCCGACGGCGGCAGTGGAAGCAACAGCGACAGCATAAGACCTGAGACGACGGCAGGGTTCGGGTCTCGAGCAAGCCGCCGCAGCAAGAAAGGTGTGTCTGGCGGGTGTGGGTTACGTGACATGTTTCCACGAACGGTGATGATGAGCTCTGTCTGATGAATTCGCCGGCTCAAACGCCCTCTTTTGAACGACGTTGGCGTCGCTGGTGCGATTTACAAAAGAGGTTTCGTTTCATGAAGACTCGTGGCTTGGATGACATTCAGCGATTGTTTGGAGATAGATGAGAATCGTTGTTACTCATCGTTTTCGATGTATATGTGAGCACATTGGGCAAGAAACTGAAATAAATGCGCCCTCGGCTGTGTCACCGCCCGCCCGCTGTGTTGTGGATCACATGCGCACCCCAGACGCGGCAGTAGGATTTCGTTTCGTGATAGCCAATATTCTAAAGTTGTTAAGCTATCAAACCTTTCGCTACAACAGACAACGACACCGAATGCGTCGACGCTCACGACCCCTCTGTTGGCTGGCTTATTCACGGAGTGCATGTGTTCATAAAGGCAAGAAGACTGCTGTTGTTGCGCTGCTTTCGTGTGGCACATGCGCACCTACCATGGGGAGTTTCCCCCCGTGGTGATGTGCGTACAACAGCAGTCGTAGTTCCGAAATAAGAGGGGGCTCCGATAGAAGAGGGTCGAAATCGGTTGTCACGGACTCGACCCTCGGTAGAGTAAGTCGAGCACTGTCTTATTCCGGTATAAGAGAGGGGTTCGAGATCGAGTACTCTCTCGTTCCGGTACAAGACAGGGGTTCAGAGCTAAGAGTGTCGACGGCCTCTGTCACACCACCCTCTTATATCGGAGCCACGATGGTGTTCTGTTCCCACGGCTGTGTCCTGTTCGGCTCATTTTTCCACGCAAAATGCAAAGGTGCAAAGGTTACTATTCTAGGCTGGCTACGTCTATGGGAAATGATTTTCGCCGTGCTGTGCGTGATGACTGCAGGCCCGTTATCGCACACTTCCATGTTGCACAGCAGCAGTGTCAGCTCTCAGTTGGAACACTCGCCGGTGTTTCCAATTGGGGTGCAGGTCATCAACGGCCCTCCCCCTCGTACCGCTGCAAATCACGGCACTTCCCGACATTTTCCGCCCCGATGCTTAACCCTCCTATGTAGTACCCAGATAGTTACAGGTTTGGCTCCAGAAAAAAACGCGTCCGCTCATTGGGGGAGGCTGACAGTAATAATATTTCCTCCAGGATCAATCACCTTGTGCTGTGTGGAACTCTCTTGTCCGACCACAGGTACAGTTTGTTGGTTGCTTCCGTTGTTATCTTTCTCTTCATTAACGATTTCCCAAGCTAACTCGCACAGATCCCAAGCACACCCGATCACCCGATCGTCTGCACACTGAACAGAAGGGCACATGCCTCGGCACAAAGCCCTAATCTAGCATGACGTGACGTCCTAGCATCTGACGACGCCAAATAACCATGGTCAACCACGATCACATGCCTACCTCCTAATACCACGACACTGGCCCTCCCTGAGTGGTCGTAGATGCAGATACAGAAGCAAACCTCGGAGGGACTCTGGTCAATCAAGAGGATTGCGGAATGAAGCTGCGACAACTCAAAACCCTCACCCGCACCTCCCCGGTATAACCAAACAAAAGAAACGGAACCAAGAAAGAGGAAAACAAAGGAGCCGGGGGCGGCAAAGTCGGCGGAAAAATTCGGGGAAAAACAGCACGCGGGGTGCGAAAAGTAACCAAAACATCCGAACCGGAAAGACCGTAACACGCAGTCCCGAGGGCCGAAGGCTGACTAGGCTTCAGTATGGAAAGTGTCCCCAAATGCACTGGGAACACTTTCTATACTGAAACCGAGTCAGCAATTATTTCCAGTGTAGGCTTTGTACAGTTTCACCAACAAGGGGACCCGCGGCTAGAGAGATTGTGCACAGCAATTCAGAGGCCCAGGAGAGCCACACAGGCATCACACAGCAGTACATCACACAGCGTAGATACCACCTCACACAAGCGTTTGACGCAACGGAGTATAGTGACGACCACGGTGCGGTAAACAGGCGTTTGAGTTGCTGTGTCTCCAAAGTATCCCAATTTGGGCTTCCATTACTAGGAGGGTTAACTCGGAAGTGGCTATGTCGTGCTTCTGGTTCTTGCTGCCTAATACGCCACCCATGGCCCGAAAAACAGGCAGAATAAACAAGAATACCGACAGCAAGGGTGGGCTCGCTACCGCTCCAGCAGTCGTTTTGTTGAAACGATCGAGTCGGTGGGCGTGCGTGAAGAACTGTGGGGCCTGCTGCTACCTCGCCCCAGACGAGAGGCCGGACTTGGCGGGTGAGTGAAACACGGGGTAGGACAGAAGTGGGTTGAAAAGGCGGGAAGTGATGATATCTACTTATATTAATAGTATAGGATGGATAGGATAGGGAAATCATTTCCGAGCCACCTTTGGCAAAGTAGGAAGGCCGTCTGTGATCGGTTCTGTGGGAACATTGCTTTTTCCTCTCGAGGACGCGTGGTCAATGGTCTAACCGCTGAGGCATGCAAAACATGAGTACGCCCCTCCCCTGCCGTGGCACATGTGGACAAACCCAAACCCCTCTCCCCGTCCCCGAAACCAAAGGCGACGGATACCGCTCCGAACTGCTGTTGAACAGGAAAAGCAGCAACACGCCGAGCAAAGAGGAGATGATGGCCTCGCCCGTGTTGTGACGTCCCAACGCCTTCGGCCTGTTTCTTCCAAAGCCGTTTGTGCAAGGAGAAACTGGATTTCCACGATAGTGCCGCTACAACGTTCTTTTGTTTTTTTTCGCGCCGGTCAGCAGAGTTTACTCCGCTCCAGCGAGAGGTCGATTTGCACAATTTGTGGCATCAGACTTCTCGTTACATCGGCGTAAGATACCTTCTGCTGCTGCTGCTGCTGCTGCTGCTGCTGCTGCTGCTGCTGCTGTGAAAGTTAACATTCAACTTGCGACACACGTGCAGTCAGCCGTTTTCGGTAATATCCTCCTGTAACCAGCACAAAATTTCAATCGGACGCCAAATTCGACAACCATCTGACTGTTCACAGTCATGTACCATCTTTGGGCGTTTTTTTGTCTGCTACAGCGGTGGTGGTCCCCAAGTAAGGCGACCGCCCCATATGAGGCGGCTATTTTAATAATCAGCCCCACCACCACCACCTTGTTCGGGAACCCCCCACTACCACTGCTGTATGCCGTTCTGTCCTCTTTTTTTTCTTCTTCTCAGAATACCTCCCAGACCCGGAGGAATTTGACTTGTACATGTCCATGACGGGCAGCGACGGCTGGTGCAAGCACTTCGACAAGGAGAGCAGGGCGTGCACCGTCTACAGCGACCGGCCGCGCTTCTGCCGGGTGGAGACGGAGACGTTCGGGAGCATGTACGGGGTGGAACCCGAGGACATGGACGACTTTTGCTCGTCGTGCTGCAACGAGCAAATAAGCGACGTTTACGGAGCAGAGAGGTGAGGTAGATGGGTATGGATTTTTGAGTAAGTAAGCGACGTCCACCGAGCAGAGAGACGAGACAGGCGGACAGATCATGGCTTGAGCAAAAGTAGTGACGTATACGGAGCAGAAAGACTAGACGTTAAGAAGCCGAAATCAACAAAGACAGACAGACAAGATAGATGCGGCTTGGGCAAATAATCGATGTTCACGGAGCAGAGACGCGAGACAGACCGAGAGATAGCGATAGGATTGAGCACATGTGCGACGTTTACGGACCAGAGAGGCGAGACAGACAGATAAACAGATGTGGCTCGACTCTTCCTCTGTTTGCGAATTATTTCAAAAGGGAGCTTCCGGATGTCGCCTGTGGTGAGGCTTTGTGTGCCTGCCATATCGCTCGGTAGCCCCTTTTCAACGATGCTGCGGCCGCTTTTAATCATTTCGTATGTGTCTCCGGATGGCTGCCGATGCTCGCTTCGCTCTTTCTGCGCTTGACTTTTGGCAAAGTCTGGGCTTGAGTGAGCGTGGAGCCTACATCTCGCGAGAGCAAGGGCGTTCTGTCGGCTCGAAAAACACGGGCTTTTCGCCGTAGGGGTGCATCGTGTACGCTCGGTCTGTGGAGGGCTGAGTCAATAACAATCTTCTTTTTTCTCAACGCTGTGGCAGGCAGGGGCCTGAAGGAAAACAGTTCTCTCACGCGCGTGATCCCTACTTTGCTAGCCTCCAGCACACCCGCAACGACAAACCCGCAGCCGCTCTATTTGGGGTGTCGGCGTGCGCACTTGGTTGTCACGCTCGCGGGCTCTTCTCGAGAGCGTTACTGCACAGGGGAGTGTGACTTCCTTTGTTAGAGACAGAGCCTCGCGCTCAAGTTCATCACACCCATAACATTCACGTAGCCCCCGGAGATCTTGGAGATCTATATTCTGCCGAGTACATACAATCACCCCCCCGCTGCCGCTACTTTCCTCGTGCCCCCCTCCCCCCTTTCAGCAAAGAGTTGCGGGTTTTCAACGAGGCCCTCGCGGCGCTGGAGAGAGGGGAGCGGCCAAAGCCAGACCTGAGCGCGTTTGGCGGCGACCTTAGGGGACAGGGAGAGGGGCAGATTCGAGACTGGGGCCTGGAGGAGGATAGATAGCGGATACACAGCCGACACTTTAATGTGCTTCCTCTGCGCACGGAAAGGAAATGTGCACGCATGGGGCCACCATCGACTTCTGTCTTTCGCAACGACCTTTCGAACGGGTGCTTTGTCCCCTGAAGGTTTTCTAATTCGGCCTATGCATACTAGAACGTACAAATACCGAGGCTACAAGGTTGCCTTAGCGTGGGGCTTTAATCTTTGTTTGGCTCCGCTTTTGAACCGCGCCTCCCGCGGTGAGGGTCTTGGGCTTCCGTGATTCGCGAAACACTGTAGACTATTTTATCGCCTGTGAGACCTAGACCTATCCACAGGATGAACGAGTACGCTTATGAAAGGACTGGTTCTGGCGGTTTCGTCGATCGCCCCAGCTGCACCCTCTCAGAGGTGGGCCTTACGTCCCGGCCACCCGCAATACGGTTCCTCTAGCGCATTGCAGTGATTATGAAACACCTACCAAATGCAGCAGCAGCGTCAGTTGAGCCTTCTCAGGCCTGAACAAACACAAACCCTTGCGCGCTATATCGTGCGGTATAGATTGTAAAACGAGAAGAACACTTACACGCACTAGGGGAAGACGCATGCGTTGACCCTGTTTAGGCAACGCACTACTATCATCGTTCAAAACGGATCAAATTTCACCACGCATTCTGAGAACTCCTTCCTCTGTCTCGAACGATACGCAACGCTTCCATCAAACTATTAAGAGCTTCCTTTGTTTCCAACTCCTCATGTTTTCATTCAAACGGATCGATTTCCACCCCGCATTGGTAACCCCTTTCCCTTTCTCTCGATAATACGGGACGCTTCACCATATTAAGAGCTTGCTTTGCTTCCAAATCCTCGCGCTTTCTCCCACGTGCTTCCCCGTCCCTGACGATGCCCGTACGTTGCGCGCGCTAGTCCTGCCGGTAACGGCAGCGGACTTCCAATAGCCAGAGAACGCTACCACATGAACGAACGAAGCGACTATTAATTCCCTGCAGAACGCTGGGAGTCTCACGCGTTCGAGCGCGGACTCGAGGCAATTCCTGGGGCCCACAACATAACCCACAACATAAAACAAACTACAGACGACAACAGCGCCGCGCTCGCTCTTCAAGCACACCCGTACGTGCAAACTTGCGTGGAAATACTGCATCTCCCCGAGAGTATCTCGACCCTTCGTAAAAATCGGAGCACTCTTAAAAAAACCCTGAGATCTGGCCCATCATGAACCCCCCGACGACTCGTGCAGTTGCCACCCCTCTCTCCGCGAAACGGAAACCGAAGTGTCACCCAACCGATTCTTCTTCGTTTCAGCCCCATCAGATGCTGTCGACCTTTGGCGGGAGCACCTGTGGCACGTAGTTCATGATGCACTCTTCCAGCGAGTTGATGACCATCTTGAGGATCGAGCCCTTGTCCAAGTGGTGGCTGGCGGTCTTTTTTTTTTGTGTGTTTGTTGAACCGGCGAAGAGCATCGCGTTTCCATCGGCAAAAGGTAACGGCGGCGGGGAGCAGTCGTCCGTGGATCGTCACAACCAGAGACACAACAGCAATTTTCACACGAACAGCCGCAACAGATGGGAGAGAGAGGGGGGGGGAGCGCAAGAACGTTTTAGATGAACGGCAACACGATATACCTGCGAGGCTCAAAAGTATTTGACACTTTCTTCGGCCTGCATGCACACGCTGGTCTCTTTCTTTCACGTGCGAATCCAAACACCCGACATGCACGAAGATGTACTGCCCGCTCCGTCCAGTCTTTCGCAAAAGGCGGGATAACCTCCGAAAGATCCAAGCCGACCCCCGAATCCAACAGCACTAGCACAAGGTGGCAGGCCGGATACCGTCACTCAGAGCAAGCACGTTTGTACACGCAGGTACCCACTGGGACTGTGGCGATAAGTCCCACGACGCCTAGCCACTGCTCTTCGGGTATATATTTCGCCCCCCGCTCAAACCGTGGAAATAAATAAAACTGCCTGCGTGTACGTGCGAGGTCCAGGCAGTGAAGGTACACAAACAAGAAAATGCTCCGAACTGTGCGTACTCCTGGCAGTAAAGGTACAAAAAAAAAAAGAAGCTTCCTACGTTGTGGTGAGCTCCACACAGTCCGTGCGCGGCGTGCTCCCTCTCTTCCTCACCTTCACGAGGTACAGGTTGACGTTCGAGCTCTGTATCCGGCGGGAGAGGTCGAGGGAGACAGTGTACGGCACTTCTTCGTCGTTCAGCCTGACATTGGCAGGACAGGGTACGACCCCACCCACGACGCGCGGAGGCGACGGCGACGGCGTGTTTTTACCGTAGCAGGGGGGAAACAAGTCAGCAGATTATGCGTGTGTGTCAGCACGGCAAAAGTAGTCTGACACAGCTCTTCATGTCTTCCTGACGACGACCATCAAATCAAGAAAAACGCAAGCTGCTCACCCTCGTCACACTCTCCCCAAACACGGCGCCACCGCCTGAACCTTATCCGGTAGCTCACAGGGCGGGCACCGGCAACAACAAAGCGAACCACCACCCCCCCCCACGCCGGTGAAACTAGCGGGACGAAAATGGAGACAACTACGTTTAGCCAAAATTACTCCTCCCCAATCCCAATGAGGAAAGCGGTCGCGAGCTCACCCGTGTATCAACCGCACTGGGCAGGTGATGGGCAGGCCTCCCACCGGCCCCTCGAGCACCAGGTTGTCCTTGGCGTCTTCGATGAGCACCTTGCTCACCGGGTACGACCTCTGCCGGTCCAAAAAAAAAGAAAAAAGGGGGAGGAGGGCAACCAATGAGCTCGGTTGTTCGTCGGAGTCAAATTCACGTTCCTCGGGCAGACGCTTTGCGTCAACCGCTACGCGGAAAGGAGAGGACGTCCATCTTCTAGTCCCGTGTAAGTGAAGTGGGAGACAGAGGGCGGCGAATGAGGCATCCCCCCAAATGCACCAACACCACCACCGAGCTCGAGTTACCGAGCTCGAGTTACTAGGCACGGGGATGCTCCCCGATGGCAGAAAGAAACAGAGAGCGCGTCGCAACCAACAGCATGGCGGCTGTGTTCCAGCTTAGCGTCACACTACAAACGGAAAGAAAACACGCAACTGCTCCTTCGTGTCACACAGCACAGCGGCACGTACCTCTCCCCAGGCAATGGTGGCCACCCCCTTTTCGTATATCTCATCGATCTTGGCCTTGGGCAGGTAGCGCATCAGCAGGTTCTCCGTGAAGTCCGGGTCGGCGGCGAGACCGACGATACCCCCGACTGTATGGTGCAGGCATTCACAGGCACAGCAAAATAGAGACAAAAAAACGGCGTCGGCCAGGGTGATGCGGAAGAGGGGGTGGGTGGGAGCGGGGAGTTGAAGCATGGCGGTGGTCGCGTTCTTTCAAAAAATACTATCTGCGTGTCCCCCGCACTGCGAAATAACAAAACATTCCAGCGTCCGCTGATGCACAGGATCACTGGCAACAACGTCGAGGAGTGGTGATCACACCCAAAGCTACGATATGTCTTGGCTACCATATTTTGGCTGCAAACTGGGAGGGATCTCAGAACCTCTCGTTCCAAGAACAATCTTAAATTTGGGGCACCCAAAGCACACCGTGGTTGGGTGCCGTGCCTACGCGGGGCGAACCGATCGTCCACGACCCGGCGTGGTTTTCAGATATTTTGTGCGCATATCAAATCCAGTCCTTTTGTCTCTCTCCTTCCTGATTTCGAAGGAAGAAAAAACAAAGGCGATAACAATCTACAGCTTGACACCGCGAGATGGGAAAGCAGTCCAAAAAACTCGATCCCACCCCTACATGCCGGGAAAAAAAAAAACACAAACAGAACCCATACCAGCTTCCTAGAACTGTCAAGATAAATATCTGCCACGACTTCCGAATCTCGCTCTCAAAACAAGCGATCCCTCCATGGTCGTCGATTTTCTTTAAAAAAAAAGAAGTAACCGAGAGGTCGGAATCGACGATGCGTTTCACTCGAACGAGAGAGAGGTAGTCGTAACTACGCACCCTTTTCCGGCCTCTCCAGGGCGATGAGGGTAGCGATCCAGCCCCCTACGCCTCCCCCAACGATGATAACCTCCTGGTACGCCTCGGGGAGAAGCTTATCGATGAGGGTGATTGCGTCCTGCTTCCACCTGCAACAAAAACCAAAAAAGGGAAAGAGAAAGAACCACCATAGTAAATGAGATAAATGCAAATCCGGGAGCAAAAGGTTGTACACCCAACAAGCCACCCGAACTAGTGCTGTTTACAAGAAAAACTCGTCTTGAAGGCTTTTCGCTCCGGGAAATCTGACCCCTGACATACGGTAAATGAGGCATTGCACACCTCGGACCCCTGGGATAAAACGAATTCGGTGAAAGGTCTTCCACCTGTGCATATCTGCCGTATGAGTCTATCGTATCGCTACATGTAACCGTACTGTTTCGCATGCCGCGATCTTTCGTTTCTTCACCTGGAGATTGTGCCGTGTTCGAACCTCCCCTCGCTGTCGCCGACCCCGAACCACTCCATGGAGATGAACGGGTACTCCTCGTCTTCGCAGTACCTAGGATTGAGGTACGGTTTGGATTGGGATGGTCGTTCGGGTGGGCGTCAGAGTCATGTCAAAGGTCGAACCACGCTGCCGCGGCACCTGCCGGCCGCCAGGCAGAACAGCGGCAGGCGATTCTTCGTCGCCAGCATGAAGGGTTGGGGCGACTAGAGTTTGTGCATGCGCACGTCAAGATGCTCTCCCTCCCTCCCCGCCCCCCGCCCCCCGCCGCGCCTCTCTTTAGCTTTTGACACAAAAACCCTCCCATGTACCAATACCCTTTCAACGCAAAACGCTACAACACCTCTCGTCAGGACAGGCAAGACAATCCCCGCAGGGACAGCAGAGTTGCACGCAAAAAGAACACATTCCATCCCTTTCTGTTCCGCGGCCCAAACACGCCGGACTGAACTGAAAAGAGGTTGGCCTCGCTGTTGGGCGCCTGAGATCTTGCTATGGTGTCGTTCTTCTGTCCACCGACCGGGGTTAGCAAGACAAACAAATAAATCGGAGAAAAAAACACTGCTGTACACCACTGCACAAAAACATCAAGGGAGGGAAACGCCACGCAGGTCTTGTGAGCAAGAGAGAATCTCTGCCCCAGTGTCCAACAAAAATATCATAGCTCAACAGATTTCAAGCGCACCAATGTGACGGACTTTTACTTCCCCTTCTCCGCCCAAAGGTTGGTGGCTGTTCCGATTCTCCACCCCAATTTCGGGGGGTGCCGATCTTCGCGCGCAAAACCGTGGTGCGCAAGAGAACATCGAAGGTACGAGAGCGCTATCATGTCCCCGAAAAAATTACATCGACCAATCATATCGACGCCGATGTCTATTTACGGTGTCCTGGTCACTCACGATCGGAGGCTGTCCGCCTTGTAATCGTGGGCGGGAGCGTCGAAGGCGGGAAGGTATAGCACCGCGGGGCTTCTGTCTCCGCCGAGCGCCATGTAGCTGATCTTGTCCTGGCCTATCACCATGGTCATCTCCCGGCCCCACAGGGGGTTTGAGGCGGTGCGACTGTCTTCCCTGTCTCCATCCTTCAACATGCCGCAACAAACAGAACGAGGGAAACGAAAAAAAGAGGAGATAAGATCAAAACAACAATAGTATTGCAACAAAGGGAGCATGATCCGCTGGTGCGCAGGCGGTGTATCCTGCGTCGCCGGCTTCATGCGGATCTCGATACCGGTGTGCTTCGTGTGCCACCCAAGCAGCAGTGTAAAGTGGTTAATAGGAGGTCATGACGATATTAATAGTAGAAACTACCGACAGGCAGGCGTGAAAAAGTCCGTAATCCTGGCGACAAAGTTAGGTATTTTGTTTCGTGGCAAAAAACGTGCCCTTATCCTGAAGGTTCTCGTCCGTGGTCGTGAGCGCCAGTCCCAAAGACAATCCTATGCGCAACGCTCCAACAGGGATTGGGTGTACCACACAGTCATGGAGAAAAAAACGTAGCAAGCGAACCAGCAAGAGGTGAAAGGCGACACGTACAGTACCTCGTCGTCGTCTGATCTATCTCCATCTTCCTTTGCAGCCTTCTTTCCCTGGAGCCTTGTTTCCCTGCTGTGCGACGCGCAAAGAGCAATGAAACGCTGGTTGTAATCAGCGTACCCGATCCCGCCAAGAAGGACTCTAGATCAATGATCTCGGCCATTGTACACTCCATAGAGGAATAGAGGTGTCACACACAGCAGCGAGGGGGGAGGCACGCGGGTGGTCGACGTCAAAAGCACAAGAGTTTCGCACCCTTGTGGCACAGCGCCAGTGCCTCCTAATCCCATGTGTCTCTCGTCGACAAACGATTGTAATGAGGAGAAGGAAGAGGAGGAGGAGGAGGCGGAAGGAGCTATGGCCATGTTCTCCATGCCGCACCCATGCATGGTACTGTACGGCCTCACTGCAATTACCATCTAGATGTAGAAGTGTTTTGGGGTATACAAATGAAGTGTATTCTTGCACACTGAAAAGAAAGAACGCCACCGAAGATACGTATCCCCAGCAGCCCGGCGCTAGGCATTGGTTGGTGGTACGCTCGCGAGCCTTGTGCGCGTGGGGTGGCCAGCGCAAACACGGCGGTTGCAGCAACATGCACGTGGGTCCTGCAGGGATCTGCTGCTGCGTGAGACAGTGCAGCCTTGGGGCAACGAACGTCAATGGCTACGCTCAAGCCCACGAACACGCATGAGGGACCAACATACAAAACGAACCACACGGCACAGGCTGCGCTGCGGGCCGTGGTCTAAGTGTATCGCACATACCGCCTCCAACCCAGATACTGCTGTGTGTCGTGCACCATGATGAGGCTTTTGGAAAAGCCCGCTTGCTGGCAACACAAGAGAGGGAGAGCGCACGAGAGACGTGTGATCCTCCACTCTATCAACAGTCAGAAGAGAAGCATGTCAAGGCAACGCTGAGCTGATCACCGTACGTCGACGTTTCCCTTGACAGCTGTCTCTCTCGGCTCATGTCTCACCTACGGTGGGAACATGTCACACGTGCGCCGTTGGCCAAACCAGCGGCTTTGGAGCCTCGGCGGGCAGAAACAGGGGCAGTCGCAGCGGGCGGGCTCACGACAGAGGGCGGCGTCCGCACCACGAATCCCGTCGCGCACGACGCCAAGGCCGGAAGGAAGGCAAGGTAGGCCTTCATTTGGGTTCGGCGGTGAGAGAGCACAGAGTAGGCGCGAACAACCCGAACGCGGCAGGTGTGCGGCGAGGCACCGCGGTGCATGATGCTCTTGTCCGCCGGGAGCAGGGGCACCCGCAGATAACGTAATAATATATTGTGGAGAAAATAATGCAAATGATGCTCTTTGCCGTACCCCCTTTTGGTCCGCTCCCCGCGCGCGCGACTCGCTCTCTTTTCTTAAAATCTGCTCGCCATCCTCTCGATCTGAGCAGGGCACGCGTGTAAGACAGAGTAGCAGTAGCTTAGCAACCACAGCCACTGCAGAAGCAGTGCCCGCTAAACCACCGGGACACCAGCGACGGCAGAGGAAAGCAGAGGGAGGCAACAGCAAAGCGTCTCTCCTTGCCGAAGAATTTTCCGGGGTTGTGGTGTGTGTGTTTGTGTTGCTCGCCGCTTGTCCGACGAAGGGGAGCAAAAGGGGCGGGAGAGAGAAGGAGAGCGAGAGGCAACCGGCCGGCACGTCCAGCGATCGCCGTCACTGGAGCGCAATCTTGAGAGGGAAGCTGCGGAGCTGAACCGATCCGCTACCCCGTTCATCAGCCACACACACGTGTGGTGGCGGACTGAACTGCTCGGTCGAACTTCGGTGGATAATTTCAGGACGAACCACCAGTGACGCCGCTGCTGACTGTGGGAGAGAGCAAGGAGCGAGAGAGAGAGAGAGAGAGAGAGAGAGAGAGGCCAGTTTTTGCGTCTGTTCGTCCATCAACGCTCTGCGAGAGAAAATGGGGTGCACGCAGTCAAAGAATGGAGAGGACTCGGCCGCAGCACGGCGCAACCGAGAGCTGCAGCGGGCACTTGAGCAGGTGGGATTGCGCAGAGGATGTCCAATCGCCCCCCGTCCAACGTGATGTCGTGATGACATAACACCTACCTGCTGAGAACGATCCTGCTTGTGTGTCCCGCCAGGTAGTATATTGGTATGAACGCAAAATCTGTTCCGTAAAAGAATGGGTCGTGCTCGCACTCCTCTGCTGCCGTGCGTTTGTTTGTTTGGGCCTGTTTGTGTAGCGCTCTTGTGTGCATTGCTCGTGTCCATCACGTGCTTGGCAAACCCGCCCGGCTACGCACCGCAGAGAGTGTAGTTTTAAGTTCTTCTCGTCCATACCACTGCTACGGGGACACTTCGAGACTGCAGCAGGTCAGCACCGCTTGTTTTGCTGCACTATGAAATGTAGGATCCTTCTCCTCGGTGTTTGCTCCCCCTTCCGTCAGCAATTGCACGTAGTAGCAAAGATCATGTGTGGGGCGCTGCATACATGAACACACCTGCGGGGCGATGTGCGACGAATGTCGTCCACATGTACGCAACACCCCCCGGAATTTTGTGACTCCCCCCTCTCCGGCGCGGGAGGTGACAGGCATTTTCCAAAGGAACGCGTGTCCTGTATGCACACACCGATGTTCGCGATGATTTCTGTTCTGGTTCGCCAGCAGTTTTTCTCTTTCTCCCTAGATAAAAAAGCCCCGAAATATCCCCGTCCCCTCGACGCTTGCTTGTGTATCTGTGCTTTGCGATGGAGAGAGAGTCGCAACAACTGCTATTTCGTTGTTTCGGGGTTGCCGATGGCTCAATTATTTTCTGTATCGCGCCTGTACGCTGTCTTGTGTTCTACAATGTGTACAATGGTTGAGAACGAAACGCGTTCACCTCTCTCTCTCATTGCCTGTGCTCTGCCGGATACCCTTACTGTCATCTGCCTGCTGTTCAAGCAGGTGCTGCACGAGGTTTTTTCCGGCAACAGACGCATGCATACATGACCAATAGACTGTCCGTTGAGGATACTACCACAGGCCTGTAGTCCGTATTTCGAACCAATCATAACGTACCGGCACGACCGCAAGCATGCGAACTCCCCGGCGCCAATTCGGGGCGTTCTGCTGTACCTCCGTTCACAACTTTACTCTCGTTACATACTCGGTAATGAAGATGCGATTTGTATGCCTTCACCACGCCACGACTGCCAGCCAGCAGTCCGTCGAGATGTTCTGTTCTTTTTGCTCAGGAAAACGCGGACGCACACACGTACCTGTGAACGCAAACAACCAATCAAAGTTCTTGCTGTTTGCCGGATTGGGGGGTTTCGTTACATATCTTCGCAAGGAACTCAAGCTGGTTTTAGCAAGGGATACGGGGTTGGGTTAGCGTTAGCGTTAGCGTTAAGGGTAGTGATACGAAGCCCCCCTCTCTCTTTCATTCATAGATTGGCTCTGAAATCGTCGCGAAGGCGATTCCTCCCTTAGGCCCATACGGCAGCAGTGGGCCCTCAACAACGCTGGTTGAATAACGCCAGTTGCTCTGTATAGCGCGGTAAAATTGCTGGGCACACAGACTGAATCACCCATTGCCATTCTGTGCCCTTTACATAGCGCCGTTCCCTCTGAAAAGTGCTGGTCGATTCGCTGGGCACATATTGGCTGTTTTTGAGGGCCCATTTCTGCCGTGCATACCCGTGCTATGCGTTCGAATCAGCGTGAAAGACGCCCACCACACGAATTATCATCATGATCGTTTTTTTTGCAGGCCCAGGGCACCCAGGGCACCCGCGATTCCGCAAGACTTGGCGGGGCCTAAACATTAGCTAGGGCCCGCCGCCCCCACGCTGGAAGCACGGCCCAGAACGCCAATGCGGGGTGTTTGGCCGCCAATATCGTATGGAATCTATTAATTTGAATCTACATCGATATTGGCGAGCGAAACGAGCCGCTGGTAGCGAGCTAAGCGAGCCGCTGGTACCGAGCGAAGCGAGCCGTTAGTGGCGAGCGCAGCGAGCCGGCGAGCACAGTGAGCTGACGCGCGGAAGCTCGCTGTGCAAGCCCAAGCGGCCCCCCCCGGCTGGTGAGGGGGCCCCGCTGGAGGCGCCGCCGGAGGCAATTTTTTTTGAGCAATTTCGCTTCATTTCCCATCAAAATTACCTGAAAATACGCCTCCGAAACCTGCAGTCAGTGTACAGCCAACTGCTTGAAAAAACAGTATGTATGTGGTAATAGTCTACATCTACACTGAATCATGTCATCAGCTCATTATTCACTACTACTGCTTCAAGAAAGCTCAGCGGTATCGCACGCCGCAACAAAAAACAAGCTTGCTTGTCGCAGAAAAGTCAAGCTCTCACAACAATGAGAGATAAAAAATGGCACAATAATGAGAGATAAATGGATAGTAGCTGCAGCTACTTCGTTGAATGCGACAGCGTGCAGCTGCCGTGTGCAGTGTGGTGTGCAGCAGTGGGGGTTCCGCGTGGAACATCGGGGGTTCCGTGGAGTATTTATCGATTTATCGTATCAATATCGAAATAGTACAAATATCGAAAAGTTCAAATGTTTTCGATATACGATATCGATACGATAAATCGATACGATATATCGACCAAATCGATACGATGTCCAATACTATAATAGTTCGAGTCCCGTCGTAGGCACTCCGTTTGGCACTTTTTTCTCTCAAAATGTATGCCCCACGTAACAACGCGGATATAATGATCCGTGTAAATAATCCGTGTGTACAGGAGTATGGTAGGCAACAAATTCGACCTCGCTGGGTATTTAAGAGTGAAAACGACCGACTGAATCACCTTGAAAATCGGGGCAAGCACCGCAAAAGCCGTTCTCCTCGGTGGTTCAGTCGGCGACCTCGAAAATAAACCCTTTCACCCTTGAGGCTGCGGGTTCGAATCTTCGGAGTGATAAAACTCATCGCAATCTCAGGAGAGTGGGAAACGTGTAGCAGTCATGAGCACGCACGCCAATCTTGTCGCGTTGAGAATCGGAGGCTCGCCGCAGCAGAAGAAAACGAATGAACTCGCGTGTAGGAATGAATGCAATAGGAAGAACCGAAGACGCATGGGGACCCGACCGCCCATTTGTTTGCACGCCGGCTACGAACACCAGTGTGGTGTTTTTACAGGGGAGGGCTGCGTTATGCAACGAGCGCTCAGCAACCGAAATCACACAGTTCGATAAAATCCCCCGCTGACGGGTCCACCTCAAGTGTTCACCCTGGGATTCGCACCCAAGATTTTCTTCGTGTGTACGTCCGAAAATCAGACCATTAGCCCGGTCATCGCTGACTGGTCCACCTCAAGCGTTCTTCTATCCTGGGATTGCGATCCCACGACATACTTTTCTCGCGACCGAAAATTGAAGTCGTTGGACCGGTCAGCGGTGACTGGCCTAGTGGGTTTCATTTGGGTTCCTTCTTGCGCCACTTCGACGCTAGCCGAACGGTCTCGGAAACTAAAAGTGCGACTCGCAAAGATGAGCCAAGGTCACTTGACCAATACAACCCGACAACGCCTGCCGCTGCCAATTTTTTTGTCATTTTTTGACAGGACAACAAGACGGAGCAGGAGAAGATAAAGCTGCTGCTGCTGGGACCGGGAGAGAGCGGGAAAAGCACCATCTTCCGCCAGATGAAGCTAATCTACGGGGTCATCTCTGAGGATGACAGGGTTAGCCTCGTGAGTGCTTTTCGTATTTACCCTTGTGGCCCTACAGGCGTACCGACTGATCATTGACTGATCACTAGCAAATGCTGATGTGGAGGCAAGCCGTGGAGTTCCCGCCCTCTGTAGCCCTCTACGCCGGGTGTTGGCAAGTCTATAGGGATGTCTTTACGCATTCCATCAACCGCGCTAACCGGTTGGCCACTGAAAAGGTCCTACTTTGTAGGTAGGATCCTTTTACAGACTCGTAGTCACATGTACATTGGTTGGAAGGATCCAGCAGTCATCGTGTCAGCTGCTTGCATATGCATACAACACTACACAACCTGTGTAGTTGAGTCAAACAAATAAGCACAGCAGACGACATGTACAACATACACATCATAGCTCCACACATACTCTCGCCCGAACCTAGGAAGCCGCTACGTAGGTGTGTGCTGGTGTGCTAGTGTGATTGTGTGATTGTGGAAAAAAACAGGAGCTCTAGTGAGCCGGCAGGGCTGACATGAGGGGGGGGACAGAGAAGTACAGAAGTCAAATACCAGCTATGGCCCTTCACTGATCATTTTATTGATAGCTTTCGGTATATACTGAAAATAGATTAGTTGAGGCGGCTGGACGACTGATCATTTCAAGGTCTACAAGGCTACCTGCCCTACGGGCCGCAGCGTGACCACCCATCAGCTCTTCTATGACTCTGTCTATGGGCACTACCCTGTCGCGGGCGGCTCGCATGGCCTACAGGTGGAGATAGCTGTTGCGTCTACAGAAGAACACTGCTGTCTTTTGCTGCACTTGTCTCTTTTTTTTTTTCTGCGGCGGAAATTTCTTTTCGACACCGAAAAGGAACCTAGGGCCAAAGGGGTTATCTACAATAGGTCACCTTCTCTCTGTGGGAACCGCTGCTATTGCTTCTCTCGTGGTTGCTGCTGAAGCCGTTGTTCGCTCATCGTTTCCTTTCTTGGTGTTGTTGTTAGGCTGGTTACTGTTGCCTTGAAACGTCGTCTGAAAGCCTGTTTGGCGATTCAACCAATCAGTGCACCCCGAAGGCTGACAACGTACCCAGCCGAAGGACACTGCTGTGAAACGGAAAGTTAGCCCGAAGAGAAATATGGGCGAAAGGCAAAACCGTCGGCCTTGGGGGGAAGAACCCCGCTTGTCTCCACCGCCGCATATGGCCTCCCGCCGTTCCCCTCTTCGTCGACCGCGTTGGCGGCTATGCATACGTAGTGTTGATTGATTTTTAGAAAATAAAATACATGCGATCAAAGAAAGACCTTCGTACCCGTCCTTGATGTAACCACAGTCGAAGGGGTTGGGTAGTTTTTTGTGTGAAGTTCACCCTGGCTTCCCGCCATGGTCTTCCTCTCCTGAACACACGCGCTAAAAGACGACAAGACAGTGGAAATGGTGACTCGACCCCCCCCCTCTCCCCCTCCGAACCTTTGGTGTTTTTTATTGTCGAACGAACGCGGTAACCACACAAGACGCCGGTGGTTTACGCCAACACGATCAGCACGATCAAGATGGTCATCAAGAAGGCGGGCTTCTACGGCTTCGAAAAGCAGGTGCGTGCTTCAGTTCAGCCCCCTGTTGTTTCGGGGCCCTCGTCCGCAATAGTTTTTCACGATAAGGAAATATGACAAGATGAAAGCAGCTTCCTAGTATATACTTTGGTCTCGGTGTTGTCCTATCCCAATTTTGTCTCTTCTTTGTTTTTTTGTCTTCTTCCCTTGGACATGTGTCACGCGTCGGCCCCTACCCTTCAACACATGCCACGTCAAACGTTGTCGCAACGAAAGGTGGTGGACCAGGATGCGATAGGGTTGATACGAAGTTTGGAGGATCAGGCGCCCATCGACGAGAAGGTTGGGCAAGCCATCACGGCCTTGTGGGGGGGTGAGTGGGAGATGGGCTCTTGTACCAGAGTCGTGCTTGTGTGAAGTATGTTTTGTCTGTGTCCTCGTGTTTATTACATAGTTGGGCATTGAACGGGGTGATGGGTGAACAGACGATCGAAGTCTCGCCGGGTTCCAACCGAACGTCCTTCGCACGGGCGGGAAATTCGAAATTTCGAAGAATGGGGGGCACGCAGAATGTCAAAGGGGTCTCTTAGATGCAAACGAAAAGCATAGCTTCACGCCACTGATGCGGTCCTCTGTGGCTGGCGTCGACCGCGTCTACCGGCTCACCGATGCCAGGAAGCCAAACCGTCGCGAGCAAACACAAAAAACGAATCAAACCTTCTTCCAGTCTGCTGGGCCTCCCGACATTGATGTGACGTAGTATGTTTTTTGTGCTATTTGACTTGATTAATAAATAGAGCGACCGGTTGGGTGTGAAAATATGCCCGTCTGGGTGGATTTTTGGCCTAGATGCATGTGTTGTCAGCGTTGCCTTTGCATCGACTCCTGTGCCAGCCGACTACCCGACAGTATAGCCGCTCGCGAGAATGCTAAGCTTGGTCCAAGTAGGGGTCATGGAGCAGGGTTGGGGGTACAAACCCTTCACTATATCATAGATTAACATTAATGTCCTCGCGAAAGGCGGCCCTTGCTGTTGCCGACTAAAGGGGTCCGTGTGTCCGTCCGCGTGTGTGCTTCGTTGGACCGTTTCTTCCATCAGATCCTATGATCCAAAAGACGTGGGAGAAGCGCAGCGAGTACCAGGTGATCGAGAGCATGAAGTACTTCCTGGACGGTATGTCTAGGATTATGCAGCCTGAGTACGTGGCCACGCCACAGGACATCCTGCACATTCGGATACGCAGCTCAGGTGAGCGTCTAGGGAGGAATGAGGATTGTTGCCGGTTCTGCAGGTAACATATGCTACATGTAGCATAGACTGAGACTATCTATCTTTACGTGTACTTGTAGACAAAAAAGTAACCTTAAATGGCCCCGGTACACCTCAGCGTGTATTGATATCAAGTTGCTGTTGCTTTCAGTGTATCGTGATGAGTTAGTTTTCTCTGTCGTTTGCACTTGTTTTTGGATGGATGCATTCGTCAATGAAAAGTAACGGGTGAGAGAAACGGACGGCAGCGTGGTCTGGTTCTTCGTTCGAGCCGGGTGTTTTTGTCTGTTCTAGTCTACACTTTACAGCGTGCCACCGTATTCAGGCCGGGCGTGGTTTTGTTTTGTTGATGTTATCGTACTCGTTGTTGTCTACCTCTGCGTGATTGCCGCCATAACTCTGTGGTACTTGGAAGTAAGTGTTAGGTTGCTCGTTTCCGGTCCTTCGGCGTTGTTGCTGGCTTCTTTTTTTCTTTCTTTCAGTGTGGTATTTTGGTCGATGTGATGGTTCGTTGTGTCTCTCGCTAGGATTGCTGTATGTCTTGTGACATTATATCGACCTTTTGGGGGGTTAGACGGCCTCACAACGGCGTCGATCGTCATGTCTGGCATGATTAGTCGTGATTGCTTCGCGAGGTATTTTCTTCAAAAGCAGGGCTGCATCCTTGAACATGTTGGCCGTACAACGTTTATTGGAAGTGTGACAGCTCCATGCTGTTGATGTCTCGAGCCTCACCATATCTCTGTGCAGTATTTATTGGCGTTATGGTGTAAACGATACGTGTGTTACGGTTGGGGTCTGACCATTGTCTGTGTATCGTTCTGTTTTTGTTTTTTTTTCCTCAGGGATCGTGGTAGACAAGTACCGCATCGACGGGACGACCTTCGAGATGTACGACGTGGGGGGGCAGCGCAACGAGCGCAAGAAGTGGATTCACTGCTTCGACAACGTGACCGCCGTCATCTACGTCGCCGCTCTGTCGGAGTACAACCAGGGCATGTTTGAGGACGCGAACACCAACCGGTACGGCTCCTGGTTGCTTGTAAAAACGGTTGTTGTCGTTGTTGTGGACGGATTTTTGTCCGCTTGAATGGTCGTTGTCGTCGTTGGTGTTGTCTTTGTCGTGGTGGTGGTTCTGTTGTATGATGGTTATCGTTGTGGTTGTTTGTGGTACGGTTTCTGGCCTCTTGAATGGTAGTTGTCGGTCCTTGGTGTTGTCGTTGTCGTGCTGGTGGTTTTGGTGTATGGTGGTTGTCGTTGTAGTTGGTTTGTGGTTTGGTCATCTTGTACAATACACGTCGTTGTTGCGGCTGTCGGCCTCTGTCGCCCACCTACATACCCTGCTTGTCCTGGCCGGTTGTAGTTCATGTATCAGGCCGCTCTTTGTTCTTGGCCGTATGTCAACCGCCTTTTTCGCGTTCTGAGTTCCTCACGTTGTATTCCCGTCTGCCCGTAGGTAGGTGCCTTGCGCACACTACTTTTGCCGCCCGCTGTCATGCATGCGTGCCCTGGCGAGGAACGCCACTCGTGCATGCCTGCGATGATGCCTCGGCCCGACCTCGTTGTCCGCGGCCTTTTTCGCTCCAAACACGCACACGGCACGCAGCCAGCCCCTTACACAGACGAACACGCGCGCAGCCCTACATCCTCGCAAGTAGCATAACACTTTCTGCTGCCTGTTGTGGAAGTATTTGGAGGTGGTGGCGATGGGGTGGTTATCGTTGGGGCTTTTCCCCGCCCTGTTGTGGCGAGGCCTTTGCCCTCGTATTGCTATACCCGCTGACCTGCCTGCTTGCCTGTCTGCTTGCTTGCTTGCTTCCTGTCTGCCCTGTGGCCACGCCGCCTGGTTGGGGTTGTCAGCATGACGGAGGCGGTGAACCTCTTCCAGGGCATCTGCAGCAATTCCTACTTCAAGCGCTCCAGCATCATCCTCTTCCTCAACAAGAAAGACCTCTTCGCAGAAAAGTTGGCGGTGAGTGTGAGGAGGCGATCGCTTTGCTGGTGTTTTTGTTTGGTAAATTAGCGTCACGATTTCGCCTGACGACCCTTGCACCATGCGCCCTCACCCGGTTTCACCTTTCGCTGCAATCCTCGCTCCGCCTTCGTCGTTTCGAGGTATTGTGTGATGCGCGTCGCGGCTTCGCGGTGTGCATAGCGATGCTGCGGATTGTTGTCTGCCACGAGATCGAAATAGACCAAACCCGGCGTAATATCGCCTCTAGAACCGAGGTTGCGTTTACTTGTTTGCCACGAGGAATAATCAATACCGACAATCCTGGCGTTGTAATGCCTCTCGAACCCAGTCAGCGTTGTCTTGTGTGCCACGAGATCGAAATATTCACCCCCAACCTAATCATGCCTCCTGAAACCGAACCGCAGACGAACCCCATCAACCATACCAAGGAGTGGTCGGACTTTAAGGGGGCCTGCACATTCGACAGAGGGGTTTCCTACTTCTTGGAGAAGGCGAGTGGGTAGCGGGGGAAACGGCGGGTGTATTACGAAGCGGTTGGTTCGATGTTGATCAGTTCCTCCTCCGCTTTGCGCTGTTAGGCACGATAGGTGCTTGTAATTCGTTGCACGGTTTGGTACTTTAGACTAGGAATCGTCAAGGGTTTATCTAGGATGGTAGGAGGAAGACGTTATCCAGTGCAGCACACCCGAGTTCAAGCCAAACACCCTGGTGGGTTTGATGGCATGTGTCGTGGTTGCTTCTAGTTTATTCTTGCCCCCCGTTTTTTCGCTTTTTTTTTTTTTTGGTACTCGTGTCGTTTTGTTTTTTTTTCCGTGCAGTTCAACGCGGCGAACACGGCCAAAAAGACCGTGTACCACCACGTAACCTGTGCCACCGACAGCGAGAACATCGAGGTGGTCTTCAACTCCTGCAAGGACACAATCTTGAGAATCAACTTCAGGTGCAGACACACAATGCCACCGCCATCGTCTTGAACTGACTTAAGACTGCCGCCGCCAAGCTCTTGTAGTTTCTCGTGTGTCTTAGTCTCTTGATTCGTTGTTATGTTATGCTGTGCCTGGGCTCTTGTTTGTGCCCTCGTTCGCACCTGTTTCTTTTACTCGCCGTGATTTTCTCGTGGGGGTGGGGGTGGTCCCGCTCGGAGTGAATCGCGCCAAAGGCGCACGCGACAACAGTAGCAGCAACAGCAGCACAGGTGCAGCAGCACTCACTCACGAGAGTGTGAACAACGTCCGTTGTACGTTCGCATTATCGTAGGAGGTGGCGTCTGCAAGGCTTGGTTGTGTTCTCAGTTCCGGACCCCCTCTGGAGCACTGCCGAAGCTGAGTCATAAGAGACTCCGGCGATGTTTTTCTGGCGCGAGTCAGTTGGACCAGTACACGGATATTTCAAGCACTGAGTAGAAACCAGAGCGATACCAGTACGGATATTTCGAGGTACCGAGTAGGAGACCGGAACGATTTTTCATGTGGACACAACAACAACAAAATATTAAACCACGGTGAATCGCACGGTTCCTCTTTGCTGCCGTCCCACACCTCTCCGTCGTCTTTGCTGCCGTCCCACACCTCTCCGTCGTCTCGTGTTTTGAAAAAACAACCACGGAAGGACCAGCGGTTTCATGGATTAGCGGCAATTGGTGCATTGCTTAGCCGGTGCTTGGCCGCCTGCCTACGCGTTGTGCGGCGGCGAGCCTTCAAAGGAGTTTCCAAGCGTTGGCGGACGTTTTTGTGCAAGGAGAAAGGAAGAAAGAGATTACGGGGGGCGGCGAGGGCTCTGGTGCGCGCCGCGCGCAAGAAATCGCGCGTTTTATAGAGAGAGCGTGACGGAGAAGGGGAGCGGAGTGGGTGCCAATGACGCTGCACCGCGGGTGTGAAACGTGTGGGGTGCGAGAGGAGAGCCATGATGGGAGCCGGGGGGCAGGGGGGGTCGCTGGTTGGGATGGGGGGGCGGGGGGGGCGGCACCTTGGTGAGTAGCTCCCAATCCGACGGAGAGCTGGTGGGTTACAAGTTTCGAAGGATTGGCGGAGAGACCCACCCTGCGTGTACATCCCCTTCTTTTCTCGTGCCCCCAAGGGACCTAGCCGAGGCATTGACGAACAGGGAATGGGGACGAAGCCGCCCCCTCCCCCCCTTCCCGCCTTCTTGATTAGCGTGCCCTTCGAGAGAGACGTGTACGTCTTGGCGGGGAGGGGGGAGGAGGCTGTTTGATGGGAACAGAGGCTGCTGCTTCTGTTGAGTTTGGTTCACGCGGAGGGGGGGGGTTCACGCGAAGGATCGAGGGGTGCGGCCGGGTACGGAGACGGAGGGTCTTTTGAGGGTCCAAGGTAGGGCCAGGTGGGTACTGGCCGCCCTACATGCTGTGCAATATCTTCGTCTGCCACGCGTGCGTGTTTTTGGGGTGCTTGTTTTTGTGCCGGGGCCCGTGATCGGCT